TTTGCTGCAAAAGGAGGGAGTGGAATTCGCGGGGTACACCGTGCCGCATCCTACGCAAGCGGAAATTAACCTGAGAATTCAGACAACGGGTAAAAATGGGAGGAGTGTCTGCGTCAGGGGTTTCCCTGCCCCCTTGCCAAGCGGGTGTATATGTATGTATTTAATAGGCACCATATTTCGTGTATCCCCTTTCATATGTTTCTCCATTTCTTGTACTTTTTTTTTTCCCCCTCCCTTTGAACTTCCCCATTCAGGCGAACCGGCCATAAACATTCTGAAGGATTCCCTAGACGACCTGTCCAACATTTGTGACATCATGTTGAACAAGTTTGATTCCGTGGTAAAACGAGTTTATTAATTTATTTAAAAATGTCTTGTCCTGCCTTTCCCTTATTTTATATGTTTACGTATTTAGCCCATTAATGGGTACCCTTCCACCCCTGTTATGTTTCATCCCGTTTTTTTTCTTTTTTTTTTGTGTTAATGTATGTGCAAAATGCTTTAAAAAAAAAAAAGAAAAAACTCCTAATTTATAAAAGTAGAATTTTCAAATTTGTGAAAGCAAAATCTTCATTTCGCTTTTATCATCAATTTGTAGAGAACAAAAATTGTTCTTTGCAATTTTATTGAAATTTTATTTTATTTTTTTTTTGTAAAAATTTAGCCGAAATGGGGACTATAAAAAAAGGAGGACTTTCCCTGTAACAACTATAAGGATACCAACACGCGGTAGAACAAAATGGCGGAACGTCTGTCCGTGAACAGGTGCCCCCTCCAATTCGGGGAGAATTAACTGATGCTCGCTCCTTTCCCACTTGTCATTTTAAAGAACGGATAACAAATGTGCTGAACGGGAAAATATAACAATTTGGGGGAGAGGATGCGATTAAAAAGAGAAGCATTTTTCTCTCCCTTCCTGCGCTACATGCGATTGTTTACATGTGGTGAAAAAAACGAAAAAGACAATCAATCCATGGGAACAGAGGTGTTACTTGCTCTTTTGATAGAGGTCGCCGAAAATGGGGTCGGCTCCTTTGCTTTCCACCCAAAAAAGCAGATGACCCAAATAATGCCCTCACAAATGGACCAATTGGAAAAAAATAGAGAACTTCAAAACTGTTCAGGCGAATTACACTTTTGACGCCCAGGTGGCGGGGGTCGACGCATAAGTTTAAGGAGAGGATTAAAAGAGAGGAACATAAATGTTCAAATGGAAAGATAAGGAAATGGGTTAGGAAAAATTCTTCGCAATGAGAAAACCGATCACGTGGCTGATCAAGCATCTGTCAAAATTGGTGTCACAACCCGTTCAGCAGGAAAGCAGATATGATGTCCGCGGGGGCCATTTATGCAGTAGCTCCGTTTATTCAACTCCTTTCCCCACTTCGACACATGTGAACTTTTGGGCCAAAGGGGGCGCGGTGTATCCCGCCGGCGTATGCAGTTAGAGGTGTGCCCACGTGTGTATGAAACAGTCACGAATTGTCACGAACAGTGAGGAATTATCACGAATTGTGACAAATTGTGACAAATTGTAACAAATTGTGACAATTTTGTGACAAAATTGTGACCAATGTGTTCATCCCCTTGCGGCGAGTACCTGTTTACGTACGCGTAGTGAAACAGTGCGCACGAGGGAGAAAACAAAAAAAGAGAAAAAATAAAAAAAATGAAAAAATGGGAAAAAGGTGAAAAGGGAAAAGAAACGAAAAAAGGGATAAAAAAAAATATATACATATGTATGTCATACATCTGTGCACGCCAAGAAGCATCGCGGAAGGCTTACCTTCTAAATCCAAATTACACCAACTTTTAGTTATTCTTTTTTAGGGCTTCCCCACTTAAAAAGCGTAATGGTAGAAAAAAAAAAAAAAATTACAGCACGAATGAGTGCTCTGCGTGAAGGGGTTCTTTTGATGAGAAAGATCTTCCACTAGTATAGAATTCATGCAAAAGGGGTGAGGTGTATAAATATGGCAAAAGGTGTGTTAACTGAAAACGTATCAAATATGAATGCTTTGCACGAGGCTGCAAATTGTTAGGTTTCATAAAAGTGTCGTCAAAACGGGTTAACATTTTGCGTCCCTTTTTTGGGGGGGATGACTTGGGGGATGGTTTCTTAATCATTGCTGTGTCATTATTTTTTTGCATACCTCCCTTTCGTCCCATTTTGAGCGCACCTTTTGGGGACTTTTTTGCTCATAATTTGTGTTCACTTTTGTGGTAATTTTTTTTGCGTACCATTTTGCGCCATTTTTGCGTCCCATTTAGCATCAATTTTCGCGCCACTGTGCCTGCACCTTCCCCCCTTGGTGAATGCACATAAAAACAAGATGAAACACGCAAAGAGCAACAAAGAAAAAGAAAAAAATAAAAACGAAACGTACTGAATTAGTGAAACATAATGAAACCAAACAAAACACAACGTAACGCAACGAAAAATCTTGCCAAAAAAGGAATGTGAAAAAAAAACAGTTAAAAAGGAATTAAAAAAGGAATTAATAAACCAATTAAAAAACGAATTAAAAAACCTACGTCACACAGATTTCTTAAGCAGATATATAGGACCTACGCTTGCGAGAACGAACTTTTTTTTTTAACCAATTGTAGAGATAAATTTGAATCACTTATATACTTTTATCCTACATTATGCATTAGATACATCTGTAAGATACATTCCTATGGGAATTTTTAAGTTTGTGTATTTATTTCTTTTGATTAACTGAGAATAATAAAGTCAAGTTACTGTTCACCTTAAGAGCGTGTATTATATACCTGCGGCTGCTTTATCAGCGGGGGAGGGACACCTGTATTTATGATGAAAGTTGCGCGACTGAGGATTGCCCGGCGCGATCGCTATGCATGCATCAGGTACATATAGGGCATAGCAAAGTTATACACATAACGTGTGTACATAATACATGCCAACAACATACAGGTATATTTACATTTACATGGGTGTATGCCTTGTTCATGAGTATCACACGCACATGTAATGCCTACCCACTCGCCTACTCCATGTGCCAGTTAACATGCGCCTCTCCAGGAACCAATGCTGAGCACACATTGAACTCTCCAGGGAGGCATACACATGTGTATAGGAGCACCCGTATATGTGAACACACGTATGTAGGAGCACACCTGTATGTGAACACACCTGTATTTGAACACACGTGCACATTTACACACCTGCGTGTACGCGGCCAACTCGTTACACTTCCATGTGGTTATGCACACATATACGTATGAACCCACACGTGCATTCATTTTTCTCCCCTCCATCCCCCTACATTCAAATCCCCGTAGCTTAGCCTTTTTTTTTAGTCACGTACATTTTTTATTCATTATTTTTTATTTATTCTTCTTTATTCATTTTTCTTCTTATTTATTGTTTTTTATTTATTATTCTTTATTTATTATTTATTGTTTATTACTTATTACTTTTTATTTTTTATTTATTACTTTTTATTTTTTATTATTTCACTTTTTTTTTTTACTTACACCTCCCCTATTTGCCTCTAAGGATTTTACGTCCAATCGATTCATATAACGCATATACAATACCACATGGACTCGACCAGTGCCCACTTCGCATCTTCCAACTCGTCCATTAATCAGTTGCAAAGAGCAGTTTCCTCCTATTCATATTTGAAAATTTACACAACAAAGAAGTTCTACTTATCATTGAATACGCTTATATCACACATTTTATTTATTTATTTCTTTATTTTTTATATCCCTCCTCATTTTTAGTCTCCTTCATCGTCAGCACACATCGTTCGTGACAATCGGGCGCATGGAAAAAAAAAAAAAAAAAATAAAAATCCACGTATACATAATATATAATTACATATGCATACGTGAGCGCACCTTTTGCTGCATGAAGGGCAAGTGAGGGAGCAACGGCTGCAGTTTATTTTTCTGTTTCCTTTGTCTGCTGCTTTGGACCTCTAGTCTTTTGTTCGCTACCCTTAGCGGCGCTGCCCTTTGGCGACGCTGCTCTTTTTGCGACGCTGCTCTTTTGCGTCGCTGCTGTTTTTAACGTCCTTCATTTTTTATGTTTCATTTTTTATGTTTCATTTTTTATGTTTCATTTTTTGTGTCTTCATTTTTTATGTTTCATTTTTTATGTTTTCATTTTTTCGGTTCGTCTGTGTTTCTGTTTCCCCCCCACAGCACGTTTTATTTTTTTTTTTTTTTTATCCCTTTTAAATTCATAGGAAAAAAATAAAATAAGCCTTTGTTTTATCGCCTCTTTGAAATTGCAGCTGCAGTTGCGCAGGAATCCACGGATGCGTGTGCGAGGCCTTTATACAACCTTTGCACAGCATTTGCGCTGCACCTGCGCCAGCCTTTACTTCATAACCTAGCGTGCATTTAACCGCCCATTTGCGGCATAATAAATTTCGTTGCGTCTCCCTCTTGAACGCCACCCCACGCCACCAGCGCGGCAGTTAATAAAAAAAAAAAAAAAAAAAAGAACACTCCCCCTTCTCTCCTATTTATTTTATTTTCATTTGTGAATTCATCGTTGCCTACAAATGCAAATTTGTCACCTTTTGGGGTGTGCGCGCCAGGCCGAGCGAGTTCGCACCGTTAGCGAAGCGGTACAGTGCTCGGCACATTTTCGAAATCTGCACAGCGGCAAAATACTTTTAAAACCCAGGCACACCCATTCAGCATTATTGGATGCTACCGAAAAGTGATATAGCAAGGCAGGCAGAGCCAACCAGTAGGGAAACGCCCCCAACTAACAACCACACCCAGTTACTTCCTCTAACTATCTTTCGCCTGATCCAGTACAAGTCTCTAACTATCTATCGCCTGATCCAGTAGCAGCCGCTAACTATCTATCGCCTGATCCAGTAGCAGCCGCTAACTATCTATCGCCTGATCCAGTAGCAGCCGCTAACTATCTATTCCCCCTCCAAGTAACCATCGCTAAATACCCATCGCCTCCCCCAGTAATCGCCGCTAACTACCTACTGCCCCCCCCCATAATGGAAGAAAACAATCAGGGCGAGAAGAAGAACAAGGGGACGAGCCAGTTGTGCTTCGTGAAAATGCTTGTGAACAACCTCGTTGCAGGATCAGTCATAGGGAAAAACGGATCCATAATAACAAGCATAGAAAACAAAACAGGATGCAGCCTGAAACTATCCCCCACGAACTCGTATTTCCCCAATACACAGGAAAGAGTACTTGTCTTGTGTGGAAAGCAGGAGCAGATAAATAACGCCCTACTGATAATCCTTGATAAAATACGCCAAATAACGACTCAGAATTTTCAAGACAAGCAGAATATGAATGCAGCTCCAAAGTACACCTGTCGAATCGTAGTACCCAAATCAGCAGTTAGTGCAATTATAGGTAAAGGTGGTCAGCAAATAAAACAACTTCAAGACACTACGGGAGCTAAGATTCAGATATCCAGTCGAGAGGATGGATTAAACGAACGCATCATATCAATCATAGGACCATTCGAATCCATTAGCGATACAGCTATAAAAGTTACTAACTCCATTCAAAATGACCCGAATTTGAAAGACCTCTTAAACGTTATATATAGTAAAGATGGAAACATCAATGGTAGATCTCTGTCTCAAAATTTTGTAAATCAAGTTCCATTAAATGGGTATGTGGTACCACAGCAGTATGGTGTCTTCCAGCACGAACAGTACATGGATGTTAATATGATGAATTCACTAATGAGGCATAGTCGCGACTTGTTTAACTTACCTTGCGAAATTTCAATTCAAATTCCTGATGAATTTATCGGATCAGTTATCGGGAAGAATGGAGCTAGACTCACCAACATCATGAACAGTACAGGTGCGCAGATTAGGATAAGCAGAAAGGGCGAGTTAGTACCGGGGACTACTGACCGGAAAGTGAGAATTATGGGAACGGTTGCAGCGGTGCATGCGGCGCATGTGTTGTTGTTGCAGAGATTGGAGTCGGTCTACATGCAGCTGCGGACCATGCAGGTCAAGTGCGACGCGTGAGCGGGCTGAAAACAGGCGGAGTGAAAAAAAAACACAGAGTGAAATAAAAACAGAGTGAAACAAAAAACAGAGTGAAGAAAACAACAGAGTGAAAACTATGTTCAGAGGGACTTCTAATCACATTGCTGGTCATCACGCAGAAGACCCTTTTGCCTTTCCCTTTTTTTTTTTTATTTTTTTTCCATCAGTTCGCATGTAGCGTATACATATCACACCATCCACAGTGTACCATTCGCACCTGTCCTTATGCACCCCGCCCACTACCACGCACCAGCGCGCTTGAACCCCGGGGCTGTAGAATACTCCCTCACATATCTTCATACGTGGATGCATGTACACCATTTTTAGTCTTATTTGGTACAGGCGACACTTCCCATACACATGCCTTTTTACCAAGGGCCAGTCCACTTTGCAGTGTATAAATTACGGTCATGGCGTGTGCGCGCCTGTAGGTCTGTTAGTACGTACGTACAAATGTGTCCGTGTGTGCATACTTACACGTGCGCACACGGCTATGTATACTTATCTGTATCCATAGTTCACTTCTCCTCTCATCACTTCTTCTCCCCCGTCTTCTCTTTTCCTCTGCTCTTCTCTCATTTTCCCCTCCCCCGTTTTCATAATTATCAACACTCTATGTGTCTTTTTACATTCTTAAAAATGAACACCCATATTAAAAAAGGCATTGTTTCATATGAAAAGCCCACGTCTAATGCAATTTCCTAACGACACTTTTTTATTTATTGCCTCGTTGTACAAAGTGACCCCCCCTAAGTGTGTATCCAGTTGGAGGTTCACTCATCTAGAGGGGAGGTAAGCTTCTAATCCGAATGCCGCACCGTGTGTAGCTACATAAGATTGATTATATCTCTTCTCCGCAATGTAAAAGTCGACGGATGTTCATTCAAACCTTCCTATGTGTGTGCTAGTATGCCACCTAGACAGGACAATACCCCCTCTCCACACAGACCCCAGGTCAATGGAGAAATATCCAGGCAAAACCATCAGTTTGGGCTTCACTTTAAAATAGGCAACGATGGGAAACTTCCCTCCAAAAAAATGAAAAAAATAAAATTATTTTTTAAATGACCATGCAGCGGCACATATCCCATCCCGTATGCAAAAAGGAAGAAAGGGATCTAATATTTGAATTGGGTGTAAAAATTCCCCTCCGATTACGATCCACCATGCGACAATTCATTACTGCGTTAGGCAGCCAAGTGTGCTAACGTTTTCTTTCCATGAAGATCTTAAAGGGGCGCACCGTGGGGGTGTCATCAAGGCTATGCGGGAAGCGAGCCGGCATATGGGGCACAGCACGCAGAATTGCGCAGTAGGATGCATGCGGCTCATTGATAGGAGGGAAAATTTGTTAAAGAAAATGTAAAACGAAATGAAAAGAAGTAAAACCAAATCGTGATGGGTAAGGAGCTCCTATGTAAAGCATCACACTGCGGGAGACTCTCCGGGGGATCTATACAGAGCATCTCGAACTTGGCATGGGGGGAGTTTTGCAACAGGGCAGAGCCAGAAACAAACAGTGCATTGGCGAAAAAACAGACATAAGCATTTGTTGACGTTGCGAAGGGGCGTGGGTCCCCAGGGGAAGCACCCCTGATTGGTTAGTAGCTGCATGAGGCACTTTGCACGCGGCGTAACATTTTACACCTCCCCATCTGGTACGCGACAAGAGAGAGGCATATTTCATTTCCTCTAATGGGGGCGAATACCTAATCAGAGATGCATGCGTAGCGACATATTTCTTGCTCTTATTTTTCGCCGTTCTTGTCATTTTTTTTGTCATTTTTTTTTTCTCTCATTGTACTTCTTTCCACTTTGCTCTTTTCTCACCTCGCGTGTTCACACTTTTTATACCTTAGCCCAGCCCCACCTTACACCCCCTTTTTTTTAAGCCTCTCTGTTGTGTATTTCGTTTTTTTTTCACCCTATTTTTTTTGCTTTCCTTTACCTTTTTTGGCTTTTTTTTTGCACTCAACTTGAAAATGTTCAATTTTTTATTTTAATTTTATAAATTCGATTCTAACGGGTGATATATCCTTCACTTTTTTTATCATTCCTATTTCGAACCCTTACACCGGAAATGTTTTTTTTTCTTTTTTTTTTCATAATACCTTTCAAATTCACTGACTGAACGATTGTATTATCAAAACAATTGTTTTATTATTCACCTTTTTTTTTTTTTGAGTTCATCATTTTTTCCCTTTTTTCTTTCCGAACTGGGTGTTATTATGTGTGTTGGTCCTTTTGGCCCTTTTCACCTACGCTGGCTCATTCACACGTTCGCATGCTGTGACTGTGAAGTTCCTGTGGCGGGTTGCTCACGAGCCCGCAACGGTTCGTTCGTATGCGTGCCGGCAGGGATACGTGAAATACACAGTCCTACACATGCGTGTATTAGATCCCATGCGGGAGTAAAGATACATGTGCTCACAGAAGTATCACGTGCTCCTCGTTTCCCCTCCTGCGGTGTATGCCGAAGGCACCTAAGCGCCTTAATGTTTTTTTCCCTATACGGGATAGCAAAAAAGAGGCTCTTTGCCCCTTTCTCTTTTTTTCTGGCGTACATGATCAATCTGTGATATTTCTTAGCCCCTTCTCCGGCTTAAAGCATTTTTTTTCTGCAAAACGAGAAAAAATACATTACAAATGTGATTAAAGAAAAAAGGAAAAAAAAGTTCCATTTCATATAATTAAAATGTTATTCTTACCTTTTGGGAGACGAAGCTTGGCCATTTTAACTCACATGTCACGCACTGCGCATTATTCGTCATTATGCAATTTTGCTTTGCGTATGTTATGCACAAACATCCGCGGGCATCGCTAACAGCACGTTAGTTTTTCCAGTCGTTCCCGTTTAATGCATTTTCACAAACAATAAAATATATGCTATAGCCTGCGGCACAGTAAGCCAACCCTCAAACCCTTCGATAAATGCACATTCGCTGTATTTTTTCTAAACCCTCGCGCAAGAAATTTTTAATTGTAAACAATATTAAGAAAAGCCAAACAAGGCCTTTTTTCCCCAATGGATTTACGCATACATTCGTAAGCACATATACATACGTATATATATATACATATACATAACTTTCTATATCTATTTTTTCCTATTCGTTTATTCACCACGTTTCACATGTGAACATGCACACATATTACACCCTCACTGAGTATATTCCCTAGTACCTTTCTGTCATTTGCATTTTCATTCCACGAAGCCCAATTACGTGTAGCATTTTTTTTTTCCCTTCTGAGCGATGCCTTTTTTCCCCATTCCTCATTTGTAGGAAATTTAAAAAAAAACGGTAATTCCCTTTTGCTTCCCCTCTTTTATTTTCCCCTTGTTTCCATTTTTGTTTCCTTCCACGCGTTCGCGTTCTTATACATCCACCTTCTCCTGTGCGTACCATTTTCTTGTATATTACATACTTGTGGGCGGACACTTCCTTACGTGCATCTATATATATATAGAATGGCCACTAGCTCACAAGGTTCGTTTAAGTTTGGTGTAAACCTCGACGTAGGCGATGCATCATCTTCCTCATACATTTAACTTGTGTGTTTTTTTTTTTTTTTTTTTTTTACCCTTGCATGCGCGTACCCTTCCCTGGCACGCAAGTTTTTTTTAACACCTCTCGGGTGCGCGAGCTGTTTTCATGCGCCTGTCTATGTTTGTACAATATGTGCGATCAGCCTTGTTCATCCATACACAAGCACCCTTTGAGATAGTTCCAAAGCAGCCGCTGCGCCTTTTGTCCATTTGACATTTTCAATTGTATAATCGCCCACACATGTCCTCAGCCCACTGCAGTCGTACGTAGGCAGCAGGCAGTTAACAAAATTATGTAAAGTTGCGAACGCGCGTGCCAGCTGCAGTTACAATGTGCGAGCGTACCAGTGCAAGAAAACTGGAAAAAAGGCTCTTGCGAAGGTACGCACGCTAAAACTTGCGAAGGCATGTGTATATATTTGAAACCCACCCCCCATAGTTGCAATTTTCCCATTTTTACATCCCCCACGTATTATGAATAGTCAAAATTGGTGTTGTTCACGCCTTTTTTAAAACCTCCTAGGATTGAGCAGAGCGAAAAAAAAAAAAAAAAAAGTACCAAAAATTAACATCAAAACGGGACGGCCGAAAAGGCACCACACTTGTGTACGCCGCATAGGCTGCATACACTGCATATACTGCATACATCGCGTGCAACTCCACATTGCACAAGCTTCTTGTTAAAATCGCTCTGGCGTAAAAACGAAAAAAGTTGCATCCACACATGAGCATACATGTGTGTGCGCACGTGGCACATTTAGCAAATTACAAAGTTGTAAAAAGGCGAGACAAGCTAATCGCACACGTGCAAGTGCATATATAGAAGCGTATATATATATATGTACGTACGCGTATCCCACGAAACGTGCACAAAGAAAAACGAAAAAAAAAAAATGGACGTGAAGAATATGAGAAATGAATTCATTCTCGAGGAAGAAATCAATGTTTTTGATGAATACAAATCGTACATAAGTGATAGTAACAACAACCCTACAGACGAAAAAAAAGTGTCAAGTCACTCAAGTAAAAATTGCAATGAAGAGGAGGAAGAAGAGGACGACGATAACAAGCACAAGAAGGAGAAAAGAAATTCACGATCTGTACAGGATGGCCAGCAGGGAAGGAAGTCAAGCCCAACTGGCCAGCCAAAAAGGAGCGATCAGGAAAATGTTACCAATGGGAACGGTGCTGAAGGTGCCGAAGCTGCCACCCACACCAATGACGATGATAGTAGTTTAAAGGCCCGCGAAAGGAGAACTCCATCGGGGAAGTGCCCATCAGAAAACGCAGAAAATAAAACCGTGTCAGTGAAGGACAAAATGAGAGAAGACCCATGTTATGTCCCCAAGGAAGCAAGGTATTTCCTACACGATAACAGATTCGAAAATAATGATAATAAGGGTAAGAAAAAAGCCAGTGAAAAAAAAAACACAGGAAACAATAAAATGACTTATATAGATGAAAAAAGGTGGAAACATGATCTCTTTTATGATTATAAATACGATGAATATTATGGGAAGGAAAGAAATCAGTACAAAAAGTACAGCAATGGTGTGTACACCAATGGTATGTACACCAATGGCACATACACCAATGGCACTTACACCAATGGCACTTACACCAATGGCACGTACACCAATGGCACATACACCAATGGCACATACACCAATGGCATGTACAGCAATGGTATGTACAGTAATAGGTATTATGGAGCCAAAAACAATAAACATGAAAAAAATAGCTACTCTTTATCCTATAAAAATAATAGCAAGGATAATTACTACTATGATAATAGCAGAGGGAAAAACTCCAAACTTTTTAACTACAGTAATAAGTATTATGGTGAAGCTACCAAAGGACGAATGCCCATTATGAAACGGGACAACAAAACAAACACCCTCTATGAGAAGAAACACTCAGATTTGTGTGCTGATAAAGTCAAGGTGGGGAAGTTCATCGAACAGGAAGATTTAAGGAGGGGTGAAGGAGATGCAGGGGGAGAAGGTGGCCGTGGTGCAGATCGTGGGCGTGGTGCAGATCATGGCCGTGGTGCAGATCGTGACCGTGCCCCCTCCATTTTGGAGGCACAGCCAGATGAGGAACCCTCCCTCGCAGGAGACGCTTATGGGCACCTGAACAATTCGGAAAAGAAAACGAAGAAACAGACGTTGCTCAAGAGATGTGAAAATGAAAAGGGCGAAGTGAGTTCCAGTGAAAATACCAAGCCAGTTGGTGATGAGGCTGACGGAGTGACCCAAGTCGCTGATTTGCTTGCCCCGGATGGAGCACCTGCAACGAATGATGCGGGTGAACGCGGCCAAGCATTGGCAAAGGGCACCATGGAAGGACACCGAAAATGTCAACAGGATGAAATGAAGGCCGAGAAGGAAGGGAACAAAGCTGCACACGGGAGTGCTGAGATGAGGGAAGACAAAAGAGAGGATGTTCTCATCGCCAAAAAGGGTGAAGAAGAGGCACCGCCAAGCCAAACCCAAAGCAACCCCTCGAGCATAAAAAGAACAGACGGGAAGGAAAAAAAAGAATTCACAAAAGCAACTCAAAACAGCACCGAAGGAAAGAAGTACGTAGCTCCCTACAAATCCAAGATGAGTTACAGCAACGGTGATAACACTCAAATAATGAACGACCGAAACGCCTCCAGCAAATACCAAGGAGCGCGATTCGTCTATTTGAGAGACGAAAACTATGCTTCCCAATCGAGTTTAAAAAAGAAATACAATAGTAAAAGGAACTACATCTATGAAGACAATTACAACAATGCGAGTTCCTACGCACATGCAAATAGTGGCAACACAGAATACGCAAGGAAGACGTATGCGACGAAAAACAAGTATGCGGGAACCTCCTCAGGTGCGAATCTCCCCTCGAACGTCGTCTCTAGTGGGAACAATAAATACCTTAACAACAACTACAGAAACAGTAATAACCACACCGGAATTGGCAATTACAGCATAAACCACCACCACGCATCTAATGACAGTGAGAAAAACGGTCCAGACAAACCACACAAGGACGAGCACACCCATGATAAGAATTACATCTATGGTAGAGGTTTCCTCAGGGAAAACAAAACCCCAACAGAAACGGAGAAAAACGAATACAAGTATAGGTTTTCCAGGAAGTATATAAACAGTATCAGCAACAACACAGTCGAATTGAAGAAAAATAGCGAAACGAAAAGCGGCACAAAGAGCGAAAGAAAGAACCAAACGGGTGCACAATATTATGGCGAGGAAGAAACTACGAAGAAGAAGAAAGAGAAATATGTCAGTAAGGAAAACGCTGCAGATAAATCAGCCAGCCATGTCCCCCCAGGAAGAGGAGCCACTGATGAGAAGGACGCTGACGCCAAATACGGAAGCAGCAATGATGAACGTGCGAAGGAAAACGATACAGGAAGAGGAAGTTATAAAAAGAAAAAAAAAGGGAGCAGTATGAGAACCTATGACCCTACAGATAGTTACAGAGAAAAAGAAAAACAGGGAAACACCCATGACACATTCTATTATGAAAATGAAAAAAACGAAAGAAAGTGGGATGATGATAATAATAGGTATTACAAAGAGAGTAAGAAAGAGAGGGAGAAATATGTGCCAAATGGGAAGAATGTCAAACAGGGGAAATACGCAAGTGATACGAAGTATGGAAAGAGCTACGTTAGTAAGGGAATGGACAAGAGAAGCCGAGCTAAGGACGGCAGTAACGATGTGAGGGAGGTGGTGGACCATGCCAAATCGAACTTCATCAGTGCGAGGGATGTTGCAAATCCGAGAAGTGACCGTAGCACCGCTCGTGAGGATACGCAGATGCTGGCTACCGAACACACGGGCAGAATCAGGGCCACCAGGGGGAAGGAACAAAACAACAGTGGAAAGGTCCAGGATCATAGAAGGGGTGATAAAGATGGTAAGGACGACGAAAATAAGGATGGTCACCTGAATGGCGACGTGCATGGCGAGGACAAAAATAAGGTCGTCCACGATGGTGACGAAGCAAACTTCCCCGAGAGGGATACTTGCCAACCGAACCACGCGGAACCCAGTCACAAGTGCGACACGATGGAGCAGAACACTCCGAACCATGAGAAGGACGAAAACAAGACTGAGTCCAGCACAGACGGAAAGGTAAACTTAACAGCCGCTTCATCCCCTCATAAGAGCAAAAAGGCGAATAACAATTTTATGCCTTATGGAAATCCATTCCCCCAAAAAAAAAATAGGAATCAACAAGATTATGACACGAATAACGAATACACTAGCAACAATGTGAACAAGAAGAACGACTCGAACAATGCATTCACGAAGCAATACACTCAGAAGGGGACGTATACAAATATGAAAAGGAAAAAAAAAGAAGATTTTGTTAATAACGCAACTCAACATAGAGGAGTGACTTTAACAGGAGGGGGAAATGAATTCTCCAATGGAAAAGCCTTTAATTATAAAAAGTGCCATGAGGAGCATAGCAGTACCAATATGGGTAGCAACACGCACGTATCGTCTGGAGACAGCATGAAGAATGCCACAGGCTCGAATGAAGCGAACAAGATGTTTCAGCCAAATGAGAAGCGCTACGATGGATATACAAATGGGGAGAGACCCTATGATGGTAATTTTCTAAATCATGGCAATCCACGGTACAGGGGCGCCTACGGCTACAACGGTAGCTGTGTGACAAACGGTGCAACAAATGGTGCAACAAACGGTGTGGCAGACGGTGCGGAAAACGATATGGCAAGCCGCAATGGTAACTCCAATGCTAATTGCAGCGGGAGCGGGAACTTCTACTACCCGGAAGGCTTCTACCCACCCCGTGGCGCCAACTATATGGGAGACAACCCCGCCTTCTTTGGCAACAACCGCTACATGAATCACCCCGTGAACGACCACTACATGGGGAGCAGCTACGTGGCCAACGGATATATGACCAACCAGAATTATCTCAGCGACCCAAACTATATGGCTAACCAGAACTACATGAATGACCCCAACTATATTAACGATCCAAACTACGTGCGAAACAGGAACTGCCTAGCCACCCAGAATTGCCAAAACTATGTGAATGACCCCAACTATGTGAATGACCCCAACTATGTGAACGACCCGAATTACCTCAGCAACCCTAACTACGTCTGCAACCCCAATTACCTTAACAACCCCAACGGAATGAACAATAACCCTAATTATGTAAACAACCCTAACTATATGAACAGCCCAAACTATATGAACAGCCCCAACTACATGAATGACGGATACGTCCATGATGTGTACAATCATAACACCTATATGAATGGGGGAAGCACCTATTACTATGACCCCATGTATGGGAACAACTACCCCAGCGAAAATGACCAACACTACTACAACGAAGGGAATAAGTACATTAAACAGTAGAGCAGAGGAAAATGGGTCCATCTGATCAGTCCCTTTGGACGCCTTTGCCTTATATGCGTGTTTCCCCTCTGCTGTTTTGTGCCCGCATTTGCCTGCACGCATGAGTTGCACCTCCGGGGGGTAAGGCGACAGGTTTGTGTGTGTATGTACGCATATGGGTACATTTACGTATGTATATACGCGTGCGCCCGTCGGGGGTAAAACGGAGACCTCTTCCTCGGCATCCGCACCCCCACCCACGAAGGGTACTATTCCTCGGAGGTAGATATATCCATTGTCTGTGCAGGCAGGCGTGTATACGCTTGCGCCGGAATCACGGCAACCGTTTGTGCTTACACGAGGACAAACTGGACCAAGTGTGCGAAATGTACGCCTGTGTGATAAACCTTCCTCATTCTCTCCACGTCTGGTTACCCGTTCCATTCGTGTGCTTTTCCTGTCACTTCATCCAACCCTAACCTACCCTACTCTACCTTTTTTTTTTTTTTTTTTTTTTTTTAAAATTCCCTTTTTTTTTTTTTTTTTTTTTTTTTTGTTAAGAATCCCTTTTCTTTAATTTTGTATCTGTGCCAAAGCAACCATTACACGCTTGCACCAATGACCCCGTATTTGCATCTCCAAATTCTGTGCATGTGTGCCCCTTGCTTAGATTCTCACTATTTATTTACCCTCTTACACTTTTGTGATTATTGTAATTAAAGAAATGTGTTCACGTGCATATGTCTATAAATGTGCTTATATACGTACCCTATCTTTACATGTCCATAGGCACGTGTATGTCTTTATCTGTGTTTGCCCTCCTGCACACACCGAACGGCCTTGATTCACTGCATTTTTGCTCACACGAACATAGCAATTTTTAATTTAACCCTTCTCCATCTCTCCCTGGGTGCTTTGGACACACCCATATCTACTCACCACCCATTGAACTTTTCCCCCTTTACATTTTTGTGAGTTCAGAAAAAAGAAATTTTGTCAAACGTAAAGTTGCGAAGTTGCAGAGTTGCAAGGTTGCTTCTTCTTTGGGGGGGATAACCCCGAGAAGACTGGCGCGGTTGTGCGCACTAGGAAAAAATCAAAAAAGATGCAAAAAAAAAAAAGAAAGGGCCAAACAAACGCGCAACAAAAGTGTCACCAAAGTGTTACTCTCATGATTGCCATTTAGCCCACCCCCACAGCACGAGTATCTCTGCGCCTTCGCGCTTGCCTTCACAACTTCTTGGGTCGCTCCAGTGGGAAGGCCCTCTTGGAAGCAGATTGGGGAATGCTCAGGAAGTCCAGCTTTCTGAACTGCTTCCGCCTTGTGCAGAGTAACTACGGGAGGGGAAGCAGAACGGGGAAGAAAAAATATGTACATATATATAGATATATATGGTGACTACCCCTGTTATCGTCCAATTTGGGCAGCGGGTGAAACAAAAGAGGCCTCTGACGCGGCAGGCATCTCGCACGTGCACAGTACACATGTGGTTTTCTTGGCGATTTGCCAACAGGAAGTTCTCTCCGCTGGGTGCTACCGATACCCCTTTTTGGCAGACGAGGAGGGTTTCCTTTTTATTCTTACCAGAAGTATTCCCAGCAAAGTGGTGACGACTAAACACTTCAATGTGCAGAGGGCAGTTCGGGCTGATCCCTCGGGCGAGTGTAGCTGCAGGAGGGGGGCGGAAAAATGGGGAACGATATATCCTGTGTAAGAATCGATAAATGCTGAGTGAGAAGTGGTAAATGCCGCGACAGGAGCGGACGTGCTAGAATTCGCTGCGCTTACCCGCCGAAAGCCAAGCAGGAAAAAAAGCGCCAGGGAGAAACACGTCAGGGGGAGGTGCAAACAGTCGCGAGACAAATGGGAACATAAACAAAAAATAATCTTTCGTTGGATTTTCTTCCGCTGAATGATATACGGAGTGTTCTTCTCATGCAGTGGTGCGATAACAGATGAGTGAGGGAAAAGAATGACCACAAAGGAGAGGGCAACATTTTTTATACTCGTCTCATACAAATGAAGCAAGTTGCACACACCGTACCTCCACACTTCACTCAACAAATGCAAGAAGACACGGACATGATAATTAACATTTGGAAGGAAATTCACCCAAGGAAACATTAAATAAATATGAATAGCAAAATAAAAGATGGTTAGACAAAACAAGTATACGTTAAAACTATCACTCGTTAGAACTATGAAGGATGAAATGAGTACATTGAACAATATGCTTGAGCTCCGAACAACGTTGATAAAAAGGAACTGCAAAATGTGCAACAGGGTTAGGAAATAATCGCACGAGTTTGAGTCCCCCCAGGAGGTAAAGAAAAACATGATGCATGAAACTGCCAAGGAGACGTACAGCTTAGCAATGGTATTCACCACAAGGAGGTAATTAAAGAGGGCGCTCAATATGTGGGGGATAAAGGACAGGAAAAAGATCTGCGCGCGGTGTGAATTCCCAACGATGAGGATGTCCCCTCCGTCCACTATTCTTCTGGAGTCTTTACTTCCATTCCCTCGGGTTGCTGCTCGAATGGACGACGCGACGTGGCTTCTTCCTGGAAAGCCCTCTCCCGCACGTTCCAAATAGGCGCCCAGAAAACGTACACACCGTTTCGCGGTGCCCACCCATCCAATTTGGTCAGCGGAAAAGATATAAAATAAAATATATGTGATCACACCATATGACAGCAGGTAAAGGAGAACATACCTGCAAACGTGGCACCAATTTTTAAGTGAGGTCTTCACTTTGTTGCCCTTTCTCCTCACGTACATGCTGCTGATGTACACGTAGATAAACAGAAAGGGGACAAAAAAACTCGAATTGCGGAGGTCAAAATATATGGCTATAAAATAGACACAAATAGACATGTACATTTTTTTCTGCAAAATTAAGTTGATGGCCCAGAATAGCAAGCCCAGGGATAGAGTCGTTACATAGTTGGTATTCTTCGAAATAAAAATTGGGCTGTACAGGATTAGCATGGCCGAGGAAATGTTTAACACCAAGTTGTTGTGTTCCATCCTTTTTTTTAGTAGGCGCAAATGGTAGATGACCCCCAGTGTGAAGAGGAGGAACTCGGAGATGGCTAGCAGCGCGGTGGCGAGCACCTTTTTGGGGGCGCCTCTCTCCTTTCCCCCGTTCTGTGCGTTGTTCACATCTGGGTTCATTCCATTATCTTTTGCTCCGTCGTGTAGTGTACTCGTCGCAGAGCTTGTTACCCTTCCCTCTTGGCTCTCCTCCTGGCTGTCACTGCTTCCTCCGAGGATATCCCCCGGTCTGCTTGCTTCTTCCTTGTCTGTCTTTCTACGTGCTACTGTGTGTGCTCTGTCACCGGGATGGCCCTTCTTTACATCATCACCCATGCATGAGGAGCTCACCCTGTTTATTCCTCCCATGTAAACCCAGAACAAGGGATGGTTTGACAACCCTTGGGGGTCACTAGCCACATTTTCAAAGTGCACAAAACCGCTGTTCCCCGCTTTCTCGAGATAATGCTCAATTTCTGCTGTCTGGTATATAAACACATTTTTAATAAATAGGGGGAGGAAAAACAGGAAAAGAAAGAAAAACAAATATATATAATACTCATATCGTTTTTTTTTCATCTGGAGTAGATTCCCTGTAAGGGCAGTCTTTCCTTCATCATCCAGAACATGGCTGGCCAATTTCCTTTTCAGATTTTTATAATTGTAAAAAAATTTATACAAAAGGAAATCTTGATTAATCCATTCGCAGTTATCAAGGCTGTACAGCAAATTGGAATAATTTTTTTTTCTTTCCGTTTTTTTTGCAACTAGCTTTCTATCGACCGCAGCTACGTAGGCATAGACAAGGGGATAAGTCTCTAAATTGACCTTGCAGTTGCTTTTGAGAAAAAGTTCAAATATTTTATGCTTCATTAGATAATAAAAAAAAAGGTAAACTTTGTATTGATAAAAAAAGAAGATTACATGGACAAGCTTTTGGCATTCTTCGAATAAATTTCCGATGGTAATTTTTGGGATCCACCCTTTTTCTTTTTGGTGAAGTAAAATGTTGAGTATGTTTTTCTGATTATATTTATCTCCCTTCAATTTTTTGTGCGTTTTCTTTTTAAAAAAGCAAAAGGGTAAGTTTTCTATGTTGACGTATGGCTTGCTGAACGGGAAGTCCTCAAAAATGAAAAAAGAAAACACAACACTTTCGTTTATTCCATAGTATTTATAGAAGAACTCAGAAAAGAGCTCATAAAAGGATTTATCCTCGTACGATTCATCCTCCTGTAATTTATTTAATATCTCCCTTTGAATGGTTTGCAAATGGGTAGTGAAATCTTTGTATATAATTTCGAAGAAGGTGTTGGTGAAGAAGGAAAATTCACTGTTTGGACGACCTTCCCATAGGAGATTTTCCTCTGCCCCGTCCTCTTTGGTCATCCCCCTGAAGATGCGCTGCTCCCTCATGAAGCCACTTTTAAACGTTTCAAAAGTTTGCATAAAAAAACAAATTTCGCTTAAAAAGTTCTGGAAGCTTTCGAAGATTCTCGCCAAACATAGGGTCTCGTAGATGCCAAAAAATGGACACAAAGTATTTTTATATTGTGCGTACTTATCCGCTTCTTCGACGAGGGAGGGATAGCTACTCTCATGACCATTTGTGGGAAACGCCCCACCGTTTATCTTTTCTTTTACAATTTTTATATGACTGGTAAAATTGCTCAGAAAAAAAGTGTTACTTTGGAAATATTCTTCACTAAACGTTTCTAGTAGGAACAAATATGTGTTGCTGTTTGTGTTGTCCAAACTATGCCCGAACAGAAAATGGTCACTGTTTTGCTCCTCCTGGTCCTTCGCTTGACTAACCGTGATGTATACATTCTTATCATCGAGAAGTTTTGACTCCTTCAAATTTTTTATTTCCTTATCTATTCGTCTGTTATAAATCTTGTTCTTCTCCTTTGCCTTCTCCTCTGACGCGGTCGTGGAGGCTTTCACCGTGTTCCGCAGCATCTTCGGTTTGGAGTGTCGTTAGGGAGGACGGTGACTGACTTCTTCACAAAACTGTGATCTGTGTGTATATTGGCACACCACGCAACACTTCAGGAATGTATTTACGTTGCGCTGAAAAGGGATACATCGAGGCAATATATGGTTCACCAAAAAAATGACCAAAGGACCACCTTCCCCTCGCCTCTGTGCAGGCCAAAGTGCTTCTACCACGAATTGATGTTTTACAGTTTTACACCTTTGCGTGGGATAAATCTTGGTCACTCCCTTTAAGAAATGAAGAATATCGAATTGCTAAAAAAAAGGGGTACACTACGAATTCGCCATTTTGTTTCACAACGTTGCAGATTGCCTTCACCTTCAGTGTCCTTTATTTCCGTCCCCTCGGAAGTTAACCCGTTCAGCTGTGAGGTACGCGCTTGTTTCAGAAATGTTCAAATGTTCCACTTGACTCAACGCGGCGGGAACGGGAAAAAAACTTCCTTACCGTGTTGCTTAAATTTTGTAAGCCTAAATTAAACAAAAAAGAAACAAGAAAACAAAAGAAACAGAGGAAACAAAAGATACAAAGGAAACTAAAGAAACAAAAGAAACGGAGGAAACAAAAAAAAAAACAGAGCGCGAAAAAAAAATAAAGGAAAAATCACGAGGAACAGTATGCATACCCCTTGTGGCACCATAAAAAAAGGGAACGTCACTGGGGTTGAGCATAATCAAGACGAATGGAAATAATTTTTTTTTTTTTGCAGAGAAGGAAGCATGAAAAGGTGCCCTCCTACAGATATCCACACAAGCACAGCGTCCACATATGACAGTGTGATGGACGACATGCTCTGGTGAGCCTTTTAACTTGATAACGCATCATTCAACTGCATTAACTTTTATATATGGACACGAAAAAATAAAAAAAATGCGCATACTCGGGCCTACACGTAAGTCAGAATAAACGGACTGAAAAATTCTTCACATGGAGAAACTCTATGTAGGATGCAAAATCGACAAAAAAAAAAAAAAAGGCTCCCTTTGAGTTACAATACAAAGGGTGATGGACACGACTTCTGACGGAATATAAACGCAGATCATATTCCAGGGTGATGCAGAGGCTTACACATACGTGCGTATCTTTGCTTAAAAAGAAAAATCACTGCGCTTGTCGCACTCTATCGTGTGAACAACTGCGGCGGTGTAAGCGCCCTGAGGCGACACATCACACAACGATATGGACGTGCCCAAGGACAAACGTTTACCCACCCGATAAGCTCTTCTTGTGCTCCCTTCAGATGTCCCGATCGAAAAACTCCGTGTTCACGCTTCTGTAGGACAATATAAGCACCGACAGAAGCAACAAAAAAAGAGGAACGGCAACCACGACTGAAATGAATATCGTTGCAAGAGATTTCGTGCGCATCGCGTGATAAAAGTACCCCATGAGCATCAGTGCAAACTGCACAAAGTATCTGACTAAATAGTATAAAATCTTTAAAAAGTAAAGAAAGAGGAGGGATAAAACGTCGCGACAGTAGGGAGAGCCCCAGCGGCTTAGGTTCCGTTGTTCCTTGTCGGTGTGATCTCCGATGTGCACTCCGCTATTCTCTCCGCTGTGCTCTTCACCGTACTCGCCACTATACCCATGGTCATACAAATCCGCACCATCTCGATCATCCACGCCATTGGCGCAATCGGCAGCCTCGGCATCACCCACATAAAAGTCGCCAACATGCATTGGCCTCGTGTAGGAGCGGTTCTTCAAATACTGAAACGAAACCGTCTCGCCCATATTGGCTTTACTACTCTTCCCAGCAGGGTTGCACTTCCAAGTGTGGTAATTCACATTCCCTTCCTTTTCGTAGCGCTTCTTAGTACCATCGCTGTGGTAGCCCTCTTCATCCGCATCGTCCCGAACTTGTCGGGAGGATTTCATTTTTTTCAAATTCAGAATGCTATTTAGTAATTCTTCCCCCTCTGTGAAGAGATATTTCTTTCCTATGTTTCTTAAAAACTCGTCCCTTTCTCCCCCCCCTTCGTCACAAACGTAACTTAGCATATTCTTCATCTGTTTTTTTTCCCGCCAGGAGTTCCGCAAGCTTTGTTTCGCCCCATTTGTGGGCCGTTCCCCCGTGCGGGATTTCCCTCCGTACAATTCATCGTTACTGTCCCCACTGCGACCATTGGGGGAACAACCACTACGACCATTGTAGCCTCCTCTACTGGCAACGGGCGAATGTCCAACAGAATCACTGATATTTTGGACATCCACCACATCGCGCATGTTTAACACAGAGACTGGCGAGTCATCTTCCACTCTCTTGCCTCTCCTACTTAGTAGTCTCCCCCGAGGGGATGGCAGATTACCCCCCTTATATGATTTCTCAAGGTGTGTATTTTTCGTTGCGTAGGAATGAAGCGGGTACATCTCGTCATCTCTGTCCAGGTAGGAACCCCTCAACATAGTAGACTTAAAATAGGACAAATTCGGGTCATCATTTTTGTAATTCTTTTTTGTTTGAATTTTACTCAGAAGGGACGAAAACCTGTCTCTTCTTTTTTCAAATACGTCGTTAACACCAGAGGGATAATAGCCTCTCTGGGAGCTCTTCAAATGGACATCACTGTCACAGTAACCTTTAGTTTCCCTTTTGGCGTAATTTACATAATCATATAAGGTGGAGCAATCATTGGAGGCATGCGAAGGGGCGCTCGCATGTAGCTGTGTATTTTTGAAATCGTTCGAGGGTACTTTTGTGTCGTCTATATTAAAATGATTTGTCTTTTCATTTAAGCGTACATTTATAGGGCTATTTTTTGCCCTCTTTGTGATGCTTCCTCTAAAGGATTCTTCTTCTAGAGTGTGGGAAGGGTTAAATGGCTTGACTGGATTGCCTCTTAACGATTTGGTTATTTTTCCCCCTTCACGATCATTAGAGATGCTACCTTGTATACCTTCTTTGGGTCCTTTCCTTACGGGGAAAACTTCATACCTACAGGAATCATCCGAACTGTGCTTGTGAATATCATCGAAGCAGGGGACACCCTTAAAGAGTCTTTCTCCCTTATGGTTAGAATCCCTCCTTGAAAATCTTCTTCTCTTCACATCATATCCTTTTACGTAATTTTCTATATCGGCCATATCTGCATACTTTTTTTTCCCTCTGTCTTTATCCACTAATGCACTGTTCTTGTTAAAATTGGAGTCTCGGCTTTTGTAAAAATGGCTCGAAAAAGTCTTATCACTTCGTAGGGGATCGCTAATTAGCTTATTTTGCCTTACCTTGTCCCCGTTGCAGGACTTGATTCTCGACCTTATATCTGTTTCGTTTAATTTGAAGCCCTGCTTATCGTTGCCCCCTTTTTTGTTTTTTATTTTTTCATACTTTTTCGTTAAATTGAAAAAAGTCTCATATAAATTTTTTTTATCTTTTGAGTAACTATGGAACATTTTTTTTTCCTTCGATTCCTCGTCAGAATATTCTCCTGTGAAGTCAATTTCATCTCCGTTTTTATTTCCTAAATGGGTTGATTTGCTTGACTGGTTCATATCATCCATGCCCTTCCTGCGACTATCTCCGATTAGATTTCCACTTAACCGTTTTTTGTAACATTTGGAGTACTGTTCGGCGAGGTCTCCGCGGTTGTCATCGCTATTGTGAGAGGTCCACCGATGGGAGTGTCGCCAGGTAGTGCCTCTCTCTTCGCATGTGGCACTTTCCTCCCTATCGTAGTCCCCCCTGCACGTGGAGGCCAAAAATCCACTGGCGCAGGATAAGTCACTGATAATGCTTTCTCTTTTGCAGTAATCCGTCTGCTCACTTACTCGGTGGTAATATCTTCTGGCGGAGGAATCTCTCAATTCGTGTCTTCTTCTACTTGAAAGGGACAGACCACGATAATCATCCACCTTGTCCCCATCTCCCGCAGTAGTTGCACCTGCGGTAGTTGCCGCGGTAGTGGCCGCGGTGGTAGCCACCATAGTAGCAGCGGACGCGCCTCTGTCGAAATACACGCCTCTAGGGTCATTTTTCGAGCGAAATAATACATTACCACGATCACTTAGCGAGTTGTAGTTCGTCCTCATATCCTGGTACGTGTGTCTGTTTTTGTCAAAATGGTTTTTTTTCCGAGCAGAATCATAACTGTGATTCTTTTTATATTTAGATATCAGTTCCTCTATTTCTCTCGGTAACCACTTTTTCTTGGGGGAATTATTATCATATTCTTTCGTAGGTTTGGAAAAGTATAAGATTTGTTTGCTTTCCGTTTTTTTATCATCTTTGCTTCCTCGGGGTAGTGCCATTTTATTGCTCCTGAGGTCATTGCCTCGTTTTTTATCGTCCACAAAATGTTCTTCGTCAAACTTGCCTTCAGTCCTCCGTAGCTTCTCATCTGTGTGTTTCGGGTGTATACTTTGGAGGTACTTCTTCTGGGCGACCCCTGATTCCACCGGGTAACCACGCCCTCCCCCGGAGCGGAAGCTATGACTACTACGACAGCTACTGCTGCTGCGGGTGCTACTTCTACCCATGCGTAACTTTTATTTTTTTTTTTTTTCAGTTTTCTGGGAAAATCAAAGAACAGATAAATGTAATGAGATTCATGTTGCGTTTCCATCTGGATCAGGGGAGATGCTGGAGGCTCGCATCATTTGCCTCTTTCCGCTATCCTCTATCGTCTTTCGTCTTTTTTAAAAGAGTCTGCCTTCATAGCGACTTCTTTCGTTCCAAGTGAAGAGCAGGCTTGGGAACAGAGGCCTCTTCTCAAAGGCTGATCTTTTGCACGCGGAGTGGAGAAGTAATGCAGCTATTCACCCATACACATTTGCAAAGGGCACATGTGTGCTGTGGTATGCTGGAAGTTGTGATAAAAGGCAGTTATACGCAAATATGAGAAGGTTGCGATTCTGTCAAGTTAGGCAGTGAAATGGACGAGGGAAGCGGCCAGTGGAAGTGCGCGGAAGCGAGATACACTTCTTTACGCTTCGCGGATGCGCAGAGACTAGCGTAATGGAATGGCAGTCGTAATCATACGTTCATTCGACTTCTCAATCGCAATAATATTTTGCTCGCTCGCTAGCTTCGTTTCGCGCAGGAAGGACTCTCATTGCTTGGCACAATACCTGGCGTTTTATCTTGACCCAACCTCTTCAGCCGTGTCAAACATGTCAGCTTTGTTTTTTCTTTCTCAATTTTGCTATTTTTTTTTTTTTTGCACCATTTGCAAAAATCCGCTAAATCGAATTTCGACTTGGAAGGGAAAAGTAAAAGGCGCAATGCGCACTGTCAATACCATTGAGAGAACCGCCATGCAAGGAAAAGGGGAACATTTACTTTTTGCACTTTCGTGTAATTCACCCGCGAGAAAATGACACAGGGAATGACCTTGCTAAGCGCAGTGGACCAGTTTTACTAGCCGAACGTACCAACACATTTTTTTATTCTTTTCAAGCCGCGTAAAAATGTGTAAATGCTCACATATATACACCCCACGTGGAACACTTAGTGGTTTTTGCATCATTACATTTTATCATATACTTTGGGAGAGCACAAAGAGGCCCAATCAGCGTGCCATAGGTCGCATCGGAAGCATAAAAAGGGAAAAAAAGAATAGCCATTATGAGTAGCGTATATCTCCGGACCTTGGGCATGTAGACACATAGACATTGTCATGTGAGAAACGAGGTGGCTACCTTTCTCGGGGAAGATGCGTGGGCTTCTTAAAATCTGGAGAAAAAGGTGGGAAGCGTTCATCCGTTGTGTGTATGGACATGTGAGCTACTACGAAAAGGGATTTTTTTATTTTAAAACACTCTCCCTTGCACACATTACCTTATATTTTCATATGAATTCCCTGTCAGTAGGCAAATTTGTGAATGCTAAAAAATGGGATTTCCTTTGTGCGAAAATTTCTCAATGGCGATGCAAAAGCAATTGTGCAGACAAGGTGAAAATTTTCCACCAGTAGCATATTCTCCGAGTTGACTTGAATACCTTTTTTTTTTTTTTTTGAGACAAAGTTTCACTCTACTACCCGCGGACAGAACACCACAGCGTCATCTCCACTCTCTGGAGTTACCCCTCCCAAAGTGTGGCACTCTTTAGATATGTGCAACCTTTTGCATCCCACGAGGTTGTTTTGAGGGTGCACATAACATGCTACAAATTAGTCCTTCCCTTCACTGTGCGGAAGTACTCCATTTTGTAACAGAAACAAATGTGATTTTTTTTTATTTTTTTTTTTAATGTGCTAATCATTTAATGCGTCTATAACTTTGATGAAATGAAAAATGTTAAAACAAGCTTGGATAGGGCAGTAAAAACTGATGTAATTTAATTATAGGAAACGAATTAGAAATGCAAACTCGGGCAAAAAAAAAAAAAAAAAATTCAAATGAAACAGAAGTTGGCATGACATATAAGATCGTACAGAGCTTTGTAGGTCTCCTTTATACAACATGCAACAAAACGGTACAATGATGTGAAGCATCGTATGCATGGTGTGTAGCCACCTGCATGACGGAGGTATAATGAGGCATCCCCTTCCACAATGCGAGTAAACCCCTTGCCTCAAACACCAAAACAACCCAGCCCCGATGGAATTCCCACCAGTGAGAAAAAGGCTATCACAAAAGGCCGTTATCAAACGGAGAGGGCTCCACACTGATGGTCGCACTAATCAAATCGCGAATAAAGTCGTTCATATACTCCAAGGAATATGCAGATGTGGCAGTAACCCTAAACCTGGGTAGCTTCAATGGGCAAGCAGGGTACATAACAGCCGAAATCATCCATTTCTTCTGAAAAAGAATATTACAAATTTTTAGTAATCGGTCTGGATCATTTGGGAAAAGTACTGGAATTACACTGGACTCATCATCCCCTTCGATAATGTATTTATTACTTTCTGGATAGTCCTTTGGCCATAGGCCCATACCTGTCTTTAATCCATTCCTTAGATATTTGATGTTGAATTTAAGCTTTTCAATTCTCCAAGGTTGGGTTTCTATCAGTTCGAAGGCTTTTAATGCAGCACCTGCACTGTAAGAAGGTAGTGGGGCTGAAAAAATGTTGCCTATGCAATGGATATCCATAAATTCGATAACCTCATCAGAGGCGACAATATATCCTCCAACAGAACCGATGGATTTACTAAAAGTTCCAACTATTAAATCTGCAGAACCTGGCATGTTGAAATGTTCTTCTAAGCCTCTCCCTGTTTTTCCTAGTACACCCAATCCGTGTGCTTCATCAACAAATAACTTGGCATTATATTTAACGCACAATTTCTTAAACGATGGTAAATGGGGGATATCACCATCCATAGAATACACAGATTCTATACACACCCAGCAGGTATTATATTTTCTTCTATATTTCAGAAGCATGATTTCTAGATGGCTATAATCGTTATGTTTAAATTGGTATGCCTTGGCACCACTTATTTGGATTCCTATTTTTACACACGCATGTGTTCGGCTGTCATAAAGGACAAGGTCACTTGATGTAGCAATAGCTGCGATGCCCGACATGCAAGCTAAAAATCCACAAACGGCTAAAATGGAATCATTTCTACCAAAAAATTGTCCCACCTTTTTTTCTAAGTCTCTTAAAATTTCATTATTCCCTCCTAGCAATCTCGGACCATGATTTCCTGTGGACCACTCCATAGCTGCTTTAATGGCAGAATTTTGTACCAGTGGTTCCCTTATAAAGTCTAGATAAGAGTAAGACGATATGGGTCTCACCTTGGCATTTTCACAGGTGATGTATTCGTTCTTTATTCCAGATACTCTCCACATATAGGCCCATTTATTCATTCGAACAAGTCCCCTTTTTGCATCTAAATAGCTCTTCATTTCATTTTCGTCCTTTTCAATTGGTATCTTATACTTATCCTTTAGAACCAAATAATAAAAGTGTCTTTTGGATTGGGATTTATATTTTAAGACAGCCATATTTTTGTACAGTACTAATTTGTTGATTCCATTTTTGTAGAACCCTTTAAGTAGATGTAGAAAAGTCCTCTCCAAGATGGAACACTTCAACTTAATGAACAAATTACAAAAAAAGGTGATAAATGCATATGTCTTGCTATTTTTCTTCTTAAATAATTTCTTCTCTGTATTGGAGTTTAATGAAAAAATGGACTGCTGAATTGGTAAGAATTCTCCTAATACCCACGATAACCTTGGCGACCCCGCTGATGCGTCTTCATTAAATATCGCTAGCACTACTGCTAGCAGCACAATCACTACTATTAGGTAATTAACTATATCAAAACTTTTCAGTACATCTAGGCCCCCGGAGTAATTGAAATCTACGAGCTTGTTCAGGTGCATTTTTTCCGTATTCTTTTTATCTCCTTTCGTTGTTTTTTTTTTTCTTTTTTGGGGTGGAGCCCCTCCGTGGGTTGCCTCTTACCCGGGTTCGCGCCGAGGTGGGAAAGAAGTTACACCGTGCGAGGAACGTTTGGCTTCAAGAAGTTTGGCTTCAACACGTTTGATTTTAACACGTTTGATTTTAACACGTTTGATTTTAACACGTTTGGTTTTAACACGTTTGATTTTAACGCGTTTGATTTCAGCAAGTTTGAGTTTCTACACGTTTACTCTTTTACACTTGTGAGCTTCAACACGTCTGTTCTGTTCTTCCCTTGCCTTCACCCGGTGTACAAAATTAAAAGAGAGCGCTGATGCACTTGGGTACCAATACTTTAAGCTTAAAATACGCGCCAAGCTGAACACACCAACTGTGTCATAATTATATGCAATCGAAAAGGGAGACGAAAAAAATTGCTTGACCTTGGTGCTGCACTAGGAGTCGGCTCAAGCGCACATTCAATGGGTGGGAAGACAATTAGGTGTATTTATCTATGCGATTTTATACGCGATTATCTGCACGGTTATGACGAATCCACGGAGAGATGAAATGGCTAGGGGTGGGTGGGCTCACCCCAAGGGGGTTATGAATACAAAACAAAAAAAAATTACACACGCGAGGAGAGCGGATGAAGGCACGAAAATACATGCATATACATATATACATGCGAACATGCACGCTTGCTACGCATATGGGCTTAGGGGGATTCAAACGGATGCTTAAAAATAGATGTACTCCCTTACATTTAAGCAAGTGCGTTACCTACCCGTGTGGCTGCGCGAATTTAGACTTTTTTTTGTCTTTTTTTTTCTTTTCAACGTTTTTTTTTTTTGGAAACAAAATGTTACATTGAAAATTTGATGCATATTAAAAAAATGCAACAGGTAGAGAAGGAACGCTGTTGTCTCTGCTTTGTATGTCTTTTGCTATTATGTTGGAAAAATGTCGGGGCTGGTTGTGCAAACTTTTGTGTGCTTCTTTGCTTCGCATTCAAAGAGTTTGAGTTTTGGTTCTCTTTTTCATTCACTTTTTTTGCTTTTTCTCTTTCTCTTGCTTCTTCGTTTCCCTTTTGCGACCGCCCAGCTTCAGCGATGTGCTCGGTTTACCACGAACTAATCAGGCGGGTGGTACGACATGTAGCACGCTAGCA